CTGTTTTATACTGGCTATGATACAAACTCTGGGGTCAGAGGAGGGCAACCACTAGAATAACATCCAACTCTACACTGTTGCCTCATTCTGTTACAGCAAGAGCTGTAAGTTCTACCATGTGAAAAAAAAAACAAGTTTTTGAATTAGTCAAACATTTGAATTAGTAAGCATGCAATGTAATTCTTCAATAAGATGTTACCTTTCTCCTCAGTTTCAGCTGATCTAGTCTTGTGTCCACCTTCTCCCCCTGCGCTGCCATCATTCTGCTGGGAGTGTCCAGCAACTCCAGGTCCATTCAAAGACTCACACTATGAAAAGGATTATTTTAAACAACTTAGGTTTATTCTTCATTAGTCCAACACTTGGACAATTCACATTATTACAGCACCAGAGTGGACAGAAAAAAAATAGATTCAGCATATGTAGTGGCGGAAAACCAGAGTAAGACGGTTGTTGTGATTGATGTAGCAATGCCAAGTAATAGCAACATCAGAAGAAGGGATGTGAGAAGGTCAACAAAAACCAAGGGCTAAGAAAGGAGCTGGAGCAGATGTGGATGGTGAAGGTAAGAGTGGTCTCTGTGGTAATCTGAGCACTCAGGGCAGTGACTCCCTGTGTGAGTCACTCCAGCAGATCCAAGGAAAGATCTCTGTACAGAAGAGCACAGTTCTAGGAACAGCTAAGATACTGTGCAGGACCCTCAAACTGCCAGAGGACTCAAGCTTGACACAAGCTTTTCTGGACAGAGACTTCAGATGTTGTTCCTGGGATCTGCTGGAGCCACTGGGGGTTCACTGTCCCAATATACATACATAAAATCATGCATTTATCAGCAAACCGGAATGATTCACAGTGAACTTGTTGGATGTTTATTAGCAGCAGATGATGAACTACACTGAAAAAAAGAGAATGGCCATCTCTTGGATTTATGTAAGCATCTTGCGTGTATTCAACACAAGTGCCTCATGCTTTAAAGTTAAGTGTAACTATATAGTGTAGAAACTACATGATATGCAGAGAGGGTATATTGAATTGTTCATATCATGTTCGAGTGAAGTAAGTCAATAATATAGGAATGTTAAATCTTGCAACACTGCATGTGATTTCATCTTGCGCGCTTTGGATTGTGGTTTGAGGAAGGCATCCATCTCAGTCAAGTTGAGCAGCCGCCTCTACTTTTCTAAAGGACATTGGGTAGTTGTTACATTTACAAAAGTCTTAACTTGTAATTTGAACAAAATAATTTCACGTTTCTATGGTGAACATAATTAAATCATGTAGGATTTATAAGAAATTCAACAACTTAATTTGTTCTTATTTAGATGACATGATACAATCTAGTCAGAGTGGTTAGTTGCCTGGACTCATGAAATTCACAAGATCACATGAGGTTTTTAAACTGCAGGAAAATCACTCGAGTTGTAAGTGGCAGAGAACTACACACACCAAATGTATGCTATCGCTATTTATTGTGGTTTAACCTGTCAAGGACAAAAACGTACAGAAATCATAGCTTTCGTACTTCATTAAGCCTGGATTGGTGGCATGGTGGCTAGTGCTATTGCCTCACAGCAAGAAGATCCTAGGTTCAAATCCACATTCTCGCTAGTTTGCAGTGGGTTCTCTCTGGGTATTCTGGTTTCCTCCCACAGTTAAAAGTCATGTGATACCATGACTTTTAACTGTGATACCAGTTAAAAGTCATGGTAATAAAAGTCATGGTGATACCAAATTGCCCATGAATGTGAGTGCAAATGGTTGTTTGTCTCTACGTGATAGACTGGTAAACTGTTCAGGGTGTACCCTGCCTCTTAACCTTTCACTTCTGGGATATGCCCCAGCCCCTCTGCAACCTGGATAAAGATAGGATGGTAGTCATTGTAAATCCAATTGCTTTTTATGTTAACTACACTCTAGACTTTGTTCAACATTAAGTAATATAAAGACAACATGTAGTATTTAAGTGGCCAAGTAGTGTAGTGGCAAATTTCTGTCCCAAGCTTTGAAAAAATAATTCTTCCACTTCTTAATGTGAGCTGTCCAGATTTATTTCTGATTCGTACATACAAACAAATGATGTCACGGTCAAAAAACTATTTGCTGCTGCAGCTCACATTTCCATTGCTGTCCTGGCTCATTCTGACCTGCTACCACATGCGCTGTAATGTTTTCCTACCCGACACAAATCAAACATGCAGCATATATTCTCTAACAACATATTATACAAAATCAAACATGTAACATAAGAACTGAAACAGTATCAAAAATATAGATTGGCTCTAACAAGTAGTATTGGGGTAAAGGTTATTGAATAGTGTTGGAATAAAATTACAAAATTGTGATGAATTAAAATATTCCAAGACCTCAACTTGCTTTATCTAAATATGTTTCAATCCCGTTTCATCAACAAAAAATGCACAGGTTTATTTAATATGAATAATTTGTGTTGATTTGACTAAGTTGTTTATGTTTCTGCTAAAGCAAAACAATTGTGTGCAACCAATGTCCACTATAGAATTAAGTAAATCCAACATGCTCTTTTTTTAGTGAAAGACCCTCCATGTACATAAAAAAAAAAAAAATTAAGATCAACAGGACAGACAGCAACAACAGTATAGTAAAAATATGCAAAGTTCCAAATTTTATCTTTCAAAGCTGGAACTTTTCAGTTAGAAAAAGTCTGAACTTTAAATTTTTTTTATTGCTATAATGAATGTGAAGTACATGAAAAAAATAATCTTACCTTTAGATTTTCAGTCGAATTCTCCCCCTCTTCTGATAAAGGATCATGTAAGAAGAAAAAGATTGGACCAGGTCATAGCATAGTTTTATAACACAAGAGTCACCTACTATATATTCATTATATGTTGAAATTTTCTCATCCAACCGACCCTTTAATTTTTTTCCTTTTGCACTGTTCATTAATTGTGTAAGTTATATGATGTTATTGCAGATATAGAGCACTTTGTGAAAAGACAAATCAAGTCTTTACAAAATATTTAAAAAATACTGGACCAAGAGTTTTAGGTTTGGGGATATTTTGAGTTTTCTCTAGCTTTGGATTCTTAATCATATTTGTGTAGTGTTTGTATTATTATTTAGCTTTGTGTTATTTCTTAGTTATTATGGTGTGATGTTGATAGTCCTTATATATATATAGTCTGTGCCTTAAGTTCCTCACCTAATTGACAATAGGTTTGTTAATCACCTCTTGCATTCTCATTCTGTTCTTCTAGTGTGCTGTCTGTGATGGTTTAGCTTCTGTCTTAGGCCTGGTCTCAGTGATAGTTATTTCATGTCTTATTTTGACAGTCCCTTGTGTGAAGTGCTTTAGGCCGATTTCTAATTACCCTGACTCCTTATTCTGTGATTAGTTTCTGTCTTGTCTTTAATTATTTTGTATGTGGTTTGTGATCAGCAGTGAACCTGCTTTTTAATTTTATTCCCCTTTGAAGGAAAAAAATTAAACAAAAAACAAAACAAAAAAAACCACAAAAACTATAATAATTAAAAAAAACAAAAAACAAAAAACAAAAAAACCCTTTCATTTAGTAAGCATTGTGAGAATGTAGCAGACCACCAGGGGACTCCACTCACATCCAGCAAGAAGGAAAGTGGGAGGAATAATGTTTCTGGGTTCTAAGATATGTTTTGCCACCTTGTGAAACCATCTGAGTGAAGCTGAGATTAAAGTTGTAAAATGTGATAAGATCTCATGTCATTATTACATAACTCCACAAGAGGACAAAAACAGGATCAAGTGCTCATAAAATTAAAAAAAAATACAGCATTCCCTCAAAAACCCAAATGCTACAAATATAATTACCAA